TGATTGCCAATCATGCAGAGCTGCTGCTTCACAACCATGAAGATACTGGTTGTGGTCATCGTCTGGGTTTTGGTCTTTTCATTTTCTGTGAATGGCGCCTAGGCCATGTTAGTTCTTGCTGCATCTTGAGGAGTCATAATCCAGTGGATATGGCCAGGGTGGTCTAGATACCGGTAGTTTACAGTGGCAAATGGTCAAAGTTTTTAAATGTTTTTTAGGTGCCACGCCGAAGGTTGTGGTTTCTAGGATCAAGTTCGACCGCTCTGATGCCCATCCTTTCTGATTTGTTCTGCTCATTTTGATGTCTCGATGCTGTCGATGCTGTCGATGCTGATGCCCCTCCAGGCGCATGAGACTTCGTCGGAGGCCTTTACACTTTGGTGATGGTCTCATCACGTGTTTTGGGAGCGTTCTATATTGATGTAGTATGATGTAGTGCAGTTTTGGCTTATGGTGAAATCCAGCCACCCGTATACCGTTTCGGATCTTTTGAAACGATGATGATGACGATGGTGATGATCTTGGTGATTGTATGTGATTGTCGTGCTTGCGTTGATGCCGAAGATGCAATGCCACAATCACTCGTGCAAGGTATTGCGTGTATTTTGCGTCACACACACAAAAAGCAAATGCGGCGATTGAAAGCTTAGATTTCATGCATTCGTTGCGAACTTGCAAAACAATAATATGAAATGAGGAGTTCTTGCGCCGTGGCGCTGGGAAATGCCCAGTACTCGTTAAACTTTCTGAAACATTTTGAAACGATCATAATCAGCCTAGATGCAGCGATCTCTGCACCATTTCACTAAAGCAATGAGGATTGCGATAATGCAAACCAAGGCCTCAGTACAGGGTATGCACAAGGCAAAAGCACATGCAGAGACCTGCGGAGTAGTGCCCAATAAGGCATCGTTCTACTTAGAAGCTGGCCAATGTTGCAAAAGGTGCAATTATCACACCCATCGCAGCATCCACAAGCAATGTAAGCAAAGGCCTAAGCCACATGCCATGTTCATTGACACTCAAAGTGTAGGCGTAGACTGCGTAGACTTGCATTTGCAAAAGCTGCAGTGATTTTAATCGCAAAGCTTTTTTTTTCTCTGAACTCTGTTGTTCTTGACGCCGATTGGATAACCTTTTCTCATCTTTTCTCCACTTTCATTCTCTTTGAACAAACTTCACAAACCTTGACAGTCTACTGTAGGTCTGTAGGTTCATGACGCGACTGCTGCATCAAGAGGTACCACTACAAGCACACCTTGCAGAAGGAAAAGTAAAGAAAGGAACGGCACTTTATGTCCAAACACAAAAATGCGGTATGCTGCATGTCAAGCACACATGCCATTCATATACAGCATGCCAACATGTGCCAACCGCATACACACACACACAACATCACCACCGCCGTATCAGTGAATGAGCCACCAAATCTGAGGCAACCAGCTACAAGTAGAATTTGCATGAATTTGCAGCATTAATCTGCGCCCGCACTTCGTGCTGGGCCAACAGCAGATGGGGGCCACAACCAGGTGATCGCCAAGTTAAGGGCCCATGCCAAGCTCCACAATGCAACAAAGCACCCAGCAAACCAGAAATAGAAAGGACGGACTGTGGAGTCTGTGGAGCTCTTTGAGCATCGCTTGAAACATGTTTTGGTTGTAGAACAGAGGGAAAAGGAAGGGAAAGAGCAAACATGGCCTGGGGTTTTTGAAAGAATATGGTGGGAATGCAAACAGTGAATACGCCCTCAGAGTGGCTCAAATGCCTTGCCAGCAGACGTGAGTTGGAGGGCCAGTGGACCGCTCAAAAAGGCCCACAGAATCAAAAACAGCAACCCCAGAGGCATCCACAGCAGCCTAGACCCAGAGACAAATGTCGGCAAGTTGAAAGACACATCAATCAAGAAGTGGAGACAATTCAAGACAGACCCTTCGCCAAGAAGTTAGGAAGAGAAAACGCGCAAGACCAGAATGAATGCACGTATGTATATCATTGTATATCATATATTATAAGTACAAATTGCCAAGCAGGCCCTCATGGCATCCGAGACTGTTTGGCTGAAGTCTCGTGCTTTCCAGCTTGTTATTGTTGCACGTTGGGATTCAAGATGCTGATGGAACAATTCTTCCGCTCGCAACGAGGAGCTGCAACATGGCCCCCTATGTTAAAATCCATAGAAACACCCCACCAACTCAGGTCTCAGTGGCAGCTGCAACAGAATGCTGTGCAATCCTTGTAGCAACTGGCTTCCTAGCTCCAAGAACTCCAAAAGAAGTCTGAACAGAAGTCCCTTCATGGGATCAATGACAAAGCATAGTGCATACTGCATGCGCACAAACGTATGTCCTCACGCAATATTTTCCTTCAAACCTGAGCTGATCTACTTTTCTGGAACTCATTAAACAAAAAAACGACATTATCAGTGCTGTCACAAAATTAACATGTCTGAACTTGAAACAATCACTTTATATGTCTTGTAATGCTGACTTACTGTAAACATGTTGCTCCCAATAAGAGTGATTTTTGTTTGAAGGGCTTCTGTCGGCAACCTTTCAAGTTGTTCCCGACAAGCTTCGCTTTCAGGGTTCTAGCTTCACAGAGCTTCAGCCTAATGCGAGCAACTATATAGGTACAAAGACTCAGACTTCCAATTCGACTCTAGCGATCCGGTCTTGCTTCAGCACAGGACAGTGATCTTTGCGAAGCTTCCAACTGCGAACTGGCTCGTAATGAATGCCCTGCCTATCTTACTGACCGGCCATGCAAATTTGACAAGTTGAACACACAGTATGTAGGCTCAACTTTCAGTTGAAACATGTTGATCATGTTGAAACCTTGGAAGGATGAAAGATGGACCTTGCAAACCTAGCATATTTGGAATATGTTGGTATTTGATACCACATCGCAACACAAGACTTTGTGGATTCACTTTCATTAGATCAGCAAGTGGCAGGACACAAGGCATGGGCAAGAATATCAACAATGGTCAAACCAGGCTTTTGCGATGCCCAAACAGACTAGAGGCGGATACATACTGTTTTTTGATTGAAACTGACAAAATGAAGAGTGTCAGCTGAGAGAAAACCTCAACTCACAAACATCAAATTCAACGACATTTTGACTCGACATATCAACTTCAACGCGCATGTCGCAGCGCCTTGAAGCAAAGCAAGCTCTTTGAAGAGACTTTTGAAGATCATGCAGTGCTTCTATTCGGCGGATCTCTATATTACTTTCACCCCATCGCAAGTAGTACGGATCAATGCTCTTCTTTGCACAGCTGCCTTCCAATATGAAAGGATGGAGTCTGGAAAGCAAAACCAGCACATTTGCATGTCCAAGCCCCATCACTCCGCACAGATAGGCAAACAGCAATAATCAATATGATGTAACGCGCTTTAACAATGCTTTAACAATCTTTAACATGTCCATTTTCTTCATGCAATCTGATCTGAGATGATCTGAGCATCTGGGGCGGTTGTGATCGTGTGGGTCATTTCACTTGGTCTGAGGGCTCCACGCAAAGCTACTTTGCTCGTTGCTTCTATCGCTGCACCAAGGTACTCAGAGTCAGCCCTCGGAATTCAGGTTGGACCAACAGTTGCATTGCCAGCTATTGCCAGCTACTCTCCCAAACCTTCCAAACCTTCCAATCTCTTTTCATCTCTTTTCAGTCTTTCCTCATCATATCTTTTCTTTTCTCATTCAGGGATCTCTAGGCAAACCAGTTCTTGATGCCTCCACCCACCTTCCAGTGACACGAAGCCAGCCACCGTCACTAGGATTCCACCCAGTTCCCTGCCCAGAAAAGAAGAGACCGATTCAGACCTATTCAATCTATTCTTGCTTCTTAATCTTCTTAATCTTCTCAATCTTCTTATTTATCTTGTTGAAACCGAGCTTGCTGAACCTGTCCCGTGGCCCTTGCTTGTCATGTTGAGTCAACTTGCAGGAGATCTATGGTCCACACACTTTGCAAACAAAAAACATATTGACATGTTACACATGTTGCATACAACGAACATTTGGGGGCCTGGCACATCATCCCCCTCAGCTAAGCTTTCGCCTAATGGCTTCATCACCACCTGATTCACACTGGCCCTCAAGCGGATTCAACCAGGCTTCCAACATGTCTTCTGTCTTTCCAACATGTTCCTCTCTCTCGCTGTCTCTCTCTCTTTTCCTTTTGTGGCGCCCAGTCTTGTTTGGTCATTGGGAACAAGAGGATCTACTCTGAACCTCAAATGGCCGTGATACCCTGAAGTTTTGATGAGAAACGCACATAACGAACCACTTCTGAAGCTATTTGTCAGTACAATTCAGTACAACGGATAATCAAGTCAGATTATTTGAAGTTTTGAATAGGCGGTGACGGACCACCCAGAAGCATGTGCAGCTTTGGCAGTTGCACTGCATATCCTTTGACTTTCCTGTACAGTTCACCAGGCTACAGGAATGTTTTGACATGCAGAACTATGTATTGGGTTTGCAAATGCTTGCAATTTGACAGAATCACAAACGGGCGGCAAATCAAACGTTGCTAAACAGAATACATGTTCGGATTGCTTTGACAGGTTGAATTGTCTCATGGAGTGCAGTGTGCGGAACAAACCCTGAAAACACATGAAAACACAAACACACCCTTGCAGTCTACGTCCAGAACACTGGAACATGAGTGATCCAACAAAAACTGTGATCCTTTGCCCTTGCGTGCAATTCTTGATCCTTTTGGTTTTATCCTTAAGCCTTAAGACATGTTTTGGAGGGCGAAACAAATCAGCTTTACCATTCAAAGACTGGGAGAGCTTGTGACTGTGAGTGAGACTATTGACTATTGACATGTCATAAAAGCTGTGAAACAAAAATGTACAAACGCGATGGCTACCATTCCAGTGAAGCAAACAGCAACTGAAACGGCACCAGGAAAGCATAGTCCCGATTCTCCGGCTGCTTCATGCGCACGCGATGCAGTTGAGTAAGTTGATTATGTCATTTTCAACTCACTTGCCATCAAGAGGACGACGAGGAACCATAGTGGCCTTGTGAACGGCTTGAACAACTCAGGCGAACTACCCAAGGAGCATCACACCTTCAAGGGTCAATTTCCTGAAGGGTGACCTGAAAAGTGAACTACTGTAATGTTGAACCACGCGTAAAATCCACATAGTTCACCTTCTATTCTAAGTCGGTGGGCACATTTTGAGGTTAGATGCAACAAAAACCGGCGCCATTTTATGCACCTCCGAGGGCAACAAATACGTAATGATATGACAACTTCACCCTGTGGCCAACTGTGCACAGCAAGTTGCATACCACCACTGCCGAAATGAAGTCAAAAAATGGCAGAACAATGTATATGAAGAAAGCAAACTATGTAATTAAATGTAAAGAACAAACAATTATATTTATACGTATATATATATAATTATATGTATATACATGTATATATATATACGTATATATGTATATGGAACATAAAAACAAATCCATATGCCAATCTTTCAAATGTGAAATGTGAACAATTACAAATAGACCCGCGTGTATGTGCATTTTATGTAAATATGAAACACTGTAGGAATGTGTATGTGTACATATGTAAATGTGTAAACATGTGTATATGCACACGTGTATTCATACTTTAATTCTTTCAAGATATATTATATATGTTAACAAGTATGCATGTACAGAAGTACATCTGTACATGCAAACAGCAAATATGAACGTATGTATATGTATATGTATATATCTACACGTATACATACGGAAATATGCATATTCAAAGAAACTTGAAACAACATATGCAAAATATATATCACATATGTATTTCTGCCGATATGCCAATAATATATCTAAATATCTGAATATGTCTTTAGGCCAAAAAAAAAGTATACATGTAAGATCATGGAAGTATGCAACTATGCAACTATGTCTGTCTGCCTGCCTTGCTGGCTGCCTGACTGTCTGCCTGTATGCATACATGCATTCATCCATGCTTGTGTTTATGTGTACATCATGTGTACATATAATGTACACATGATATTTATGCGATGTCTCTGTTGGCACAAAATAGCTGTGACTGCAATGGTGAGGTGTATTGCAAGAAATGCTGCTATAATCAATGGGGACGAGCCAAGGAGACGGCCCAGTTGGTCTTGATCGGCACAGACCGCCTTTGACATATGAGAGCCAATGATGAAGTTGAGGCGAGACAAACGCCAGCTAATTGAGAACTCATGACAAACCCAACAGACAGGTGGGGCTCTCTTACTTGTCTGGCGCATCTGAGTGGCCATGAATTCTGTGGATGACACAGGTTACAGTTTAGTACTGCGTTTCTCTTTTCCAATTCTGAAAATTCTCTGCAAAGTGCTAAAATTACATTTGTCTCAGTCTGCAGCTGGAGTGTCGGCAAGGAGGCTGACTTCACAACTTTGGCCTGCAAGACCAGGTTTCGGGTACTGGAGTCGGCAGGCAATCTGTGAGCACTTGACATCCGCTGCGAATCAGACCAAACTTTCGGATCAATTTGGATATGCAGTCGGTTTGCATCTCCGACTTGGCTGTTCAGGCTGCCCCCACCAGATCCACATGCACACACACAAAGGCATGACGTGTGCACGAAACAAACAATCTACATATCGCATGTACACACACACACACGTCCCCAGGATTGCCCTTCTGCATTACCTTCGGAACTGGCTGCTCTGCAGTGCCAGGTCCTAAGATAATACAATTTTGTCTTGGGTATTCATGGAAACTGTTTGTGCAGCATGGTTTGACAATGGTAGGGCTGGTAGGGAGAGATTTGGCCAAAAAAAAATTGTCCACAAACAAAAAGAGATCAGAGGTCAGCTAGGTCAGCTTTCTGCATCTACGGTGCCAGTCAGAAGTGCTGCGAATGCTCCAAGCGAACCGGCTGGACCTTGAGAGCCAGGGCTCCTGCCATGAAATCTTCGAAACTTCCCAGGCATCCAAAACAATATACAAAAATAATACTGTTCGCTACGGACTCTTCTTGATAGTCAAATAAGTGGTATTGATGCTATTGGAAACATTCTGACGACCAGCTTTCCCAAAACTTAACAATGATTACAATGCGGCCAAGCACTGCACATGCTTTGGCCTGTCTACAATGTCAGCCTTTCCTCTGCACTCGAAACTTAGGAACCCCAAAGGGGCTCTCAGGCAAGAGGAAAAGGTAATGCGGAATGCGGAATCGACTGGTTTCCGAAATTGTAGATCCCACTGTGTCCCACTGTGTCCCTGGAATCTTGTTTGAAATTCTGTGGTATGTTCTGCCATCCAATGCATGTCTCTTGGAGTCTTAGAGTTCGTCATGTTCGTCGACTTCAAGATTCTTGCCTGCAACGTATACAAGTGAGGGAAAAAATGGAAAACATCTATATTCAGTCATTTTCACATGTAAAGAGAACCAGGGCCATGTGCAAGCCTAGGCATGTGTACTCAAATGCCTACACCTAAATGCGTATCTAAATAGGGAAACATGATTCATGGTACTCATGTGAAAGTCCGTGTCTATACATGTACTATATATATATCTTATATTTACTATATGAAACATGCGAGTATGTGCCGCATTTTAGATATGTAGTGTGCGCAGTGTAATGCTGTATGTGAAGTAAATTACCGCAGGTGTAGGGCCATGTGGTGTACCGTAAGGCAATGTACTTCAGTGTATGTGCCCTGCTGCATCGATATACATGAATAACTATATTATATGTATGTATGTATATATATATATATATCCGCCGACCCCGGCTGATGCAAGGGGGAACGCGTCAAGGATTACAGGTTTCCCTTTGTACAACATGTACAGCTTGTGCAGCAACATGTACAGCAACATGTACAGCAACATGTACAGCAACATGTACAACAACATGTACAACAACATGTACAACAACATGTACAACAACATGTACAACAACATGTACAACAACATGTACAACAAGTAACAACATGTACAACAACATGTACAACAACATGAACGACAACATGTACAACAACATGTACAACAACATGTACAACAAGTAACAACATGTACAACAACAAGTGCAACAACATGTACAACAACATGTACAACAACATGTACAACAACATGAACAACAACATGCACAACAACAACATGTACAACAACAACATGTACAACAACCAGCAACAACAACAACATGTACAACAACAACAACAACAATAATAACAAACAACAACATGTACAACAACAACAACAACAACAACCACAACCACAACCACAACAACCACAACCACAACCACAACCACAGCCACAACCACAACAAGCAAACAAGCAACAAGCAACAAGCAACAAGCAACAACAAACAACAACAGCAACACCTCCAACAGTTTGTGCTTGGCAGGCGGGTTGGCGCAGCAGCAGGAGGAGCAGCAGCAGCAGGAGGAAAAAGTAGTCAAAATCATCATTTTCTATGGGTTTCAGCAGTTACGTTAAGCAGTTTTTGGGCGCAATCTTGATGCTTCTCCGTTCTTCACTGCCAGCAGCAGCCGGAGGAAGAAAAGTAACTAAAATCATCATTTCCTGTGGGGTTCAGAAGTTGCGTTAGGCAGTTTTTGGGCGCAATTTGATGCTTCTCCGTCCTTCACTGCCATGGTGTTTTCATGTGTTTTCCCATCCGGGAGGTGTCTTTTGAGCAGCAGCAAAATGCTGTAAATTACAGCATTTTTGCGTTTTAACGTCTTCTGCGGGAACAATGCAAAAACGCAGAAAATGCTGTAAATACCAATACTTTTTAGACCAGAGATGCACAAAACACTGCAAATACCATTGTTTTTGAAAGCAAAGCACACATTGTATTTACACGGTTTTTGGAATGTCAAGAAAACGTGGAAGGCACGAAACACTGTAAATGGCGGTGTTTTGGCAACTTTTGGACACTGAAACGCTGGTATTTACGCAGTTTTTTGCCCCTGAAGGTACCAAACCCCTGTATATTGCAGTATTTTTTGCACTTTTTGAACCGATGTTTTGCCTTGATGAACGCAAAAAACACCAAAAAACGCTGGTATTTACGCGTTTGTCAAAAAATCGAAGATAGTGACGTGAACGAAACCCCGTAAATAACAGTGTTTTAGCCACATTCGGGGACTAAAACTGTGGTATTTACGCTGATTCTTGCCATCTGACAGCGCAAAATGCTGTAAATTACAGCACTTTGTGCGCTGTTTATGCTCAATTTTTAAACGAGCGATGCTTTCACATGTTCTCGGCATTCTTCAACAAGAAACGACGTTACAGATTGAAACTAGACGACAGTGTGGCCCGAAAGAAAGCTGGAGGGAGGAGACGAGAAGATAGCACACAAGAAAATATGATAATGAATGCTGCTGGTGAGGAGCTCTTACACAGACGCATTTACACACAGAAGATCACAGAAGCTTTTACGCACGGAAGCTTTTACACACACAGGGGCTTTTACACAGAGAAGTCTTTACACAGAGCGGCTCTTAGACACAGAAGATTTTACACACAGAGGCTTTTACACACAGAAGTCTTTATACAGACTGGCTTTTACACGCAGAAGCTTTTACACAGAAAGAAGTCTTTACACAGAAGCTTTTACACAGAGAAGATGCCAAAACAGTACAAATAACCCATGAAGGCTGAATAGTCAACGTGCTGGTTCTTGGCGTAGCGGGTCGTAGTTCCAGGATCAAGATATTTCAAAATTATTCAAAATAATGACAATAAATCGCTGACGCTGCAGGTATGTCTGGGGCCTGCTGCACCTGCCCACTGAAAAGCTTTTCTGTAAAGGGATTAAGAATGGAACCAGGTAGAACTTTTATTCGCACACGCGCGTATCTAAGCGCAATCAACGTGGAACATGGACATTGTCGCATACAGAAACTCTGTCGAACTGGGTGCATAGCATTGCATGGCAGCATATGTGGACAATTTTCACATCTGGCCCACCACTTCTGGATGAACTGTGCAAAAGCACCATGTCAAAAATATCTTTCGCAAGGCAGAAGGTCGAATCGGTCCTGCTGCTGAGCAGGTCGGCAATTTTTCGTGAGATCATTCCTGGCCATCTCAGTTGAGCGTGCAAATTCCTGCTGCTGATATATGCTCATCGTTTCTTACAATCCCATCCTGCTAGCAAGAAAACATTCCCTCCAAGGATCCAGCAGCAAATTATTCCACATATTCCAGAGTGCTACAGTCGCTAGGCGAGGGTTTATAAGGATGAAGGCGTTCAGATACTTGAGGTTAGAATTGACGAAATCGCATGAAAACACAAACACTAGAGGACGTTGCATTGCTTGGCCCGTTGTGGTTGTGTGGCCTGGTGGCTCCCAACCTTCTCCCATCTCAGCTGCACGACCAATGGTAGCAGCCTCTCATGGCTTGGGAGGGAAATCTGTGGAATGTATCCGGAAGATCGATGAACATGCTATAAATTGTCAGCTGCAACCTGGGACTTGCAGGAATGCGTGTGAGCACTCAACTATATTCAACTAATCATGCCCCCTAGCTAAAACTCGTGGCACGTCCAATTGAAGCACAAAATATCGAACAGTGCCTTCATCATCGCTTCAGTAACATCCAGCTTGTCCTGGGCTTGCACATTTGTTGACAGAGTTGTGGACAGAGTGCCTCAAATATATTCCAATATATTCGGGTTTCGAGAGCGGAAGTTTGTGCACGCACACAAACACACACAAGCATACAAACCCAGTGCTACTTCATGCACAATCATGCGCTACATATCTACTGCTTTTGCTCGTGCGTATTTGGTGCAAATGGTGCAGTTGCACTGGTGCCATTTTTGTGGGCCTTAAATCAATCTAAACCATTCTAAATTCAACTTGATACCTTCAGGCTAAAAGCAAACGGATCGCAAGTTAGAAACAAGGAAGCATCGGGCAAACGCATGCAAACGACCTAGCATGAAACACAACAAGCAGGTTGCAAGGAAATTAGTTAATGGTTGTTTCTTTTTCGTGAGCTCGAGAGAGAGAGAGAGAGTGTGAGAGTGAGAGTGAGAGTGAGAGAGAGTGAGAGAGAGAGGGACAGACCTGGAAAGGGAGGGAGAGAAAGCAAAACAATCGCCGTCAAAGAACACTGACCAATTTACTAAGACGCTCTGAGTTCCATGACTCCTATTGAAGCTGAATTGCCGTTCCTTGCGACATCTGGAATTGCCTTGGGTATCCTTGGGTGATATTGTTGGACAAAAGCAAAGCAAAGAAGAGACGCCTCAACAGCCTCAACCAACCTGTTCAACTGCTTGCTGCTCAAGCCCAGGGTCCCCAGGTTGCAGCAGTTTGTTGAGGCTGTCCCGCGACAGGCTTGCCTCTCAGCTCCAAATAGCTTTGGCAAACTCGGAAGCACAACAAAACATGCAAGGCTGTGAAGACTATATTGTCCAGTGGCACGTCAAAACTTTTCAGGGCTAGAACCCTGAACAAACCAAGTCTCCTTCCAAAAAAGCAGTGAGCATGGCTGTCAAGCCCCATTTCCCGCTTTTACATCATCTTGACACACGTTAACTCGATTTCCCTAAAAGGCGTTCATTCATTATTTCCTTGTGCTTGTCTTCATACCGTGTCGGTGTTTCGCTAAAGTTTCTCTGGTCTTCCGTCACCATTACAAAACATGTGTTTTCATTGTGTACTCACCCTGATTGTTGACTCGTCCAGCACTTACAAGTACAGTACCCGACTCGGCAGAACCTATATATAAAAGCAAACACGGAGCAATAGGGCTTGAAACTGTGTATTTCCATCTTCCTGTTTTGAGGTCGTGTTGGGCGTCATCACGACCGTGTCATTAATGACCGAATTACATTGGATTGCCCCAAGCTACAAATAGGCAAATCAAGAAGTCGCGGTTCAAATTGTTGCTGTAGTGATGCACTCTTTCTTAAACTCCACTGGACTGCATTGTACTGCATGCTGCTAAGAATTTTGACATCGTGCAGGTTGTTTGAGGGAACCAGTTCTGCTGTCAAAACAACTCAACTTTCTGAAGCATTCAGAATCTAAGACGTCAGAGGTGGCAAGGCATTAAGATAGATGCAAAGAAATTCAGAGAAATGCCCGGGCTCTCTATAGTTGTCTGTATGACTCCTTTCCATGTTGCACGTTCACTCATCACATCTCATCACCAGAAGCTAACTGTTGGGACTAAACTCAAGCCTCTCCGGGGCTCCAGAAAACGGTTGACTTGGACATCAGGCCTCAAGTGCCAATGTTACCACTGACTGCAACACGCCTAAAATCACTCAATACTTATCAGTCGGATCAAGTTGGAAAGATTTGGAAAACATAGACAATGAAAAATGCGCAATGCCAACATAATAGAACATGTGACTGCTGCTTCAAAAAATGGGAAGATAATGCTCGAGAAACTCCCGACTTGTTAAGCTTTGCGGTGTCCCTTTAGAAAAATCCAAGGGCATCCATCGGCACTGTGCAGTGACGCATATTGTCTATTGTTCTATCCCAGAATCTGTGTAGCGATTCTATCTCGAAATCAACCTCCAGCGGGTGGCTAAGGACGGGTCCTGCACTGTCAGGTGTGGATATGTCCGGATCTATGCCGAGACACTTGCCAAGTGGTGCTGTCAAGCCACAGGGAATTCGACTTCAGACATTATTGAAATTATATGGTATAAATTAGTTTCAACAATACTGCCTATGAGTCGAAGATAGTCGAAGCATCTTGATTAGCAGTTGCTCGAAAGTGGCTGGAGGTGATTCAATATCTGGGGTTACAGCTTGCCAAGAATGATCTGTTGCACAGTTGCAGTGGTCCCAAGATTTCGATCATAAAACAAACTCCATGCTGCTCGAGCCGCGTTGCTGCAGAAAAAAACGGTTCTGAGCAAAATGCGGGTGTCTTTCGATGCGAAACCGTCTTTTAAACTGATGGATTCAATGCATTTGAATGAATGATTATGAATGCCAAAAAATCCATTTCAAAGCCCCGATTATCTGCTTTCCCAACATCAGTATCACAGCAAACTAAACCAATATCACATCAAAACAAACCTGGGTACAGGAGAAAAACAACTTAGAAAGCCTGACGTGATACAAAATGATAAAAATACTGGTGCTGGGCGTCAGGCTAAATCGCTTACAGAGGTCATGAGCTCCATGCGATCCCCAGCTATTGCCTGCTCGAACCAGAAATCATCAAGCATTGCAAGTTTCACAACATTTCGCATCATTTCACAACATTTCATAATATTTCACAACACTTCACAACCAAGCGGAGCACACTCTTTTGGTTTCGTTTGGATATTTTTGGACTGTTGGACACAAACATCACAAACAGAAACAGGTTGATTTGCCTCCTGAACCTCCACATTACCAAACCATTACCATTCATAATTCTTCATCTTACCCATTCACCTTATATCGAATCAGCCCCGTGTACGCTCCTCAGGAGTGAGATCAGCAGCCCATTCGAAGGGCATCTCCCAAATCTTTTGGTACCTGTGGCACTTCAGCTGGCACTTCAAAAATTTTCAAGGAACATACATCAGCTTTGTCCGGCTTGTTTCGCAACTTGTTTGACAAGTCATGTCAACTTGCGCACTGCAACACCCCGTCTTGAACTGCAGGTGTGGCTTCCCATCCTGGCATACTTGGCCCTGGGCCTAGCCAGCATTTATGTGGCCCAAATGTATCTCCGTTTGTAAAATTGGCGTAGATTTGCAAGCTTATTTGCGGGCTACAAGGAGCGCCAACGCTATGGCATCCACGACCGCCAATGACAGTCAGATACATTCCAATACACGAAAGTATGATCAGGGCAGAATAGATCAGAATAGTAGCTTCTTGGCACGAGTGGCTGTTAAATCTATAAACCAGTCAGCTGAGGAGCGCATGTAACATCCTCACAAAACGGGAGCAAAAGAAAGCAAACCAAAGCTGGCCCAGGGATAACGGCTCATAAGACACAGTGGGTATTTGTAGAAAGGCATGGAATGGAACATCATACTGTAGCTCCCCCACAACATCATGGCGGATTCCCTTCCACTGGGAATTAGCTGCATATGTTGCATGGAATTTCACGTTTGGATGGCAAAAATCCTGAAGGGTTTCCTAGCATTTCAACTTGGAAAATTTCAGTCTTTGTTATACCAATCAATCAAAGGATGGTAATATAGACTGAACTAGCTACTTGACCGACAAGTTTAGCAACTGACATGCTACGCTGCTAACCTCATATATATATATATATATATTGTATTGTATTGTATTATATTATATTATATCATATTATATAATATATATGTGTGTTATATATATATATATATCTTATTAATATTTTTTTTATTTCTATTTTTCCAGAAAACTACTACCGTTAATTATCATTACCAGCAGTGCCGCGCAAGGCGGTGGCGGAAGTTTCAAGGATAGGCGCTATAGGAGAGGTGAGTTGTTGTGATGCATGGATGGCAGAGCGAATCCACTGATGGACCGAAAGGTGGTTGGAATTCTGTTTTTTGGAGTGGTTGCAGTGGTTGCAGCCACAGCTGCTGGATGTAGTGTGGTGTAGTGCAGCTGTAGCTGTAGTTGTAGTGTAGTGGAGTTGTAGTGTGTAGTGTAATCAGTGTAGTGAAGTTGCAGTTGAAGTTGTGTAATGTAATGTGATGTAGTGTAGTGTGCTGTAGTGTTGTGAGCTGTAGCGTAGTCTAGTGTAGTTGTGTAGTGTAATGTGATGCAGTGTAGTGTGCTGTAGTGTTGTGAGCTGTAGCGTTGTCTAGTGTAGTGTGCTGTAGTGTTGCGTGCTGTAGCGTAGTCTACTATAGTGTAGTCTGGTGTAGTGATGTGTAGTGTAGTGTAACGTAGTAGTGTAGTTGTAGTTGTAGCTGTAGTTGTAGTTAGTGTAGTGTAGCGTAGAGTAGCGTAGTGTAATTTAGTGTAGTGAAGTGTAGCGTAGCATAGTGGAATTAGTGTAGTGTAGTGTAATGTACTGTATTTGTAGTTGTAGCTGTAGTTGGAGTTGTAGTGTAGCAGTGTGTAATGTAGCTGTAGTTGTAGTTGTAGTTGTAGTTGTAGTTGTAGTTGTAGTCTAGTGTAGTGTAATGTCATTAGTGTAGTGTAGTATAGTGTAATGTAGTGTAGTTGTAGTTGTAGCTGTAGTAGTAACAGTAGTTGTAGTTGTAGTGTAATTAGTGTAGTGTACTGTAATTAGCGTAGTGTAGTGTATTTAGTGCGGTGTAATGTAATTAGTGTAGCGTAGTGTAATTAGTGTACTGTAGCGTAGTATATTTGTTTTTGTATTTGTAGGGTAGTGTAGCGTGGTTGTAACTGTAGTTGCAATTGTAGTTGCAGTTGTAGTTGTCGATCGATCGATCTATCTTTCTGCAAGTTTGAAAACAAAGCTATTCTGCGAGACTTCCTCAATTTTCGAAGTTGACAACATCAATAACGAAGCAATTCTGCAAGACATTCTTCAAAAATGGAAAGTTGAGTGCAGAGCTGACGGCCTCGTGCCAATGCGTTTTGCGATTTTTCCAGTCCATGTCTCTGAAGTATTGCGCCTGCCACGAAAAAGTGATGCCAGGTCATACAAACTGCTGCACCTGTCACACAAAATCACCTTCCCAAAACTGAAGATCTGCTCCAAAATGCAAGCCCTCTCAGGAAATCAGCGCCCTGACCTCCTAACGTCTCTGATGAACATGTCTCTTGTACTGCACCTGCCACGGAAAATGCATCTTTCCAGATCCTCTTCAAATGTCCCACGCCTGCCATCAATTTTGAAATTGCCACAAAACCCTCACCTTTGTGCTCACTTTTCACAAGGTGCACAATCCCTTGCGCCTGCCACGCGAAAATGCATCTGAACCCAAGACCGTCAGTTTTTCAACACTTTTGACTTGGAAATGTGCTTCGCGCCACAACAACGTGCACTTTTTCGACATCTCAACTTCAAACAGTGCTCCGAACCGGGATTTTCTTGGGACTCAACACTTAACCCATCGCGACCCCTTAACTTGAACTGATGGAAGATGCACTGTTTGCTCAACTATCCCTCGCACACACGCGCAGGACTCGCCTTTTGTCACGGTGGTGGAAAACAACAAGACTCAAACCCGGGGCCAAACCTTACACTAGCTAAACCCGGTCCCCACCTGTGATTCACACAGGATCAACCAGCTAGTGTTTATCCAAGGCGAGGCGAGTTCTACTCTCCCCGAAACCAGGGAGGGAGGGCGGGGGGCAACAAAACACCAACCCAGTGCAACCGCACAAGGCAATCCTGGAGGAATGCAACTGCAAACCATCCAAACCTGTTCACCCCCTGTCACCTTTAGAGCAATCGCGCGCAGATCCGCATCTTCTTCCACACAAAAGGTAGTCGCAAATCACAAGAATGGAACAAGTGAACCAAGAGTCCTCCAAAAGCTTTATATCCCCAAAACAAGAATCATGAAGAGGGGGTCCCATCAAATCCCGCTTCGTTGTTCGCAGGCCAACACTTTGGTGTGTTTTGCGCACTTTGACTTGGAAATGTGCTCCGCGCCACAACGGCGTGCACTTTTTCAACATCATCTCAACTTCCAAAAGTGGTCCGAGACCGTCAGTTTTTAACGCATTTGACTTCGAAATGTGCTTCGCGCCACAATGGCGTGCGCTTTTTCGACATCTCAGCTTCCAAAAGTGCTCCGATGTTGGTGTGTTTTGCACATTTTGACTTCGGAATGTGCTTCGCGCCACAACGGCGTGCACCTTTTCATCTCTCATCTGGCCAGATGGCTCCTCACCCGCCGCTTTAGCGAGCCTACTTTTCGACCCTCCGGAGCCACAAATCATTGGAAAAACACAGTGAGTCGCGACTTTTCTACCTTTTCGCGCACCTGCATCGTCTTCATTCTTCTGACTCTTTCTCTTCTCTGATCTTCTCTCTTCTTCTCTTCTCTTCTCTGACTCTTCCCACCTCTGCTTTTCCATCTGTCCATATTGTCGGAAGTTTGACTTCTAACCTTCCTTCGGTCATTATTAGTTGTTATTAATATTATTATTATTATTGTTATTATTGTTATAATTATATATTACTTTTACTAATATAATCATTATTGTTATTATTATTGTGTTTATTATCATTATTATTATGATTACTATTACTATGATGATTATGATGATTATTATTATCATCATCATCATCATTATTTATCCACAATATGTGGTTTTACAAACATAGGCACACACACACACGGCTGACCCACTTGCGGGCGTAGTCTAAACTTGCCATACATTGCACACTTGTGGCAAATGTCTCTTTTAAATTCTTTTGACACTTGTGATTTGGATCTACAGGGATGCGCGAACCTCATGCCTAAGTCACGACTGGATCTGGGTCTTGAAAGCAGGCCTTTCCACCATCTAATCGCAGTTTCAAGAAAGTCATGCCTAAGGCATACCTTTCCCACCTTGGACATGCAGAAGAAACAACGAAACATATCCCTGGAAGGTAAAGAACACCACCTAAGGACCTAATGGCAGCTTTCACATCTTGTTGGACTCAATGTTGACAAGGTTGCCCTGGATACCAAACAACACCTAATCGTGCATCGTAAGGTTTTCAACCAAAACTGCTCCAGACAAATCCAAAGACCCAATACAGCAACCCATTGCAATTCCTGAGGCACGACTTTTTCGAATACATGCTAATCACGCATCATGTAAAATAACATTTCAAGATTTTGGGTACAACCTTAGCAATTGACTGTACCAGTATCAGCTGTTTCTCTGTTGCTATTCAAAGGTTCTTATCACCAAAGAAAGAAAATGAGTTGTTGAAATTTGTACGAGGAAGGGTCTTTGCCATAGCAAAGCCTTTCCTCAGCCAGGAGCCAAAAGGGTAGGGCTTAGACCTCTATGGAAACTTGAAGCGTGCATTCCACTGTCAAACGACTTTCTGACCCTACGCTGGTCAAACACCGACACTTGAAGCTTATGCATGCTTATGCGGCTATACAGGGTCAAGTAAATGCATGATCCGTAAATGCTGTGTGATCTGAGCTGAGGTCTCATGAATACAGGACATGCAGCCCATTGCAAACCCACACTTGACCGCTCTGCTTGTTTTGGACTGAGTGCAACGGACACCTTCAATCTATTCAATTGCTGCTTATATATGTATATATAGATGTATACATACATATATATATAATTATTATAATTAACTATATATATATTAATATATTTATATTAGAATCACATGCAAGAGAATCCACAAGCATCCCAAAGGCACGCCTGTGCCAGCAACAATGCTTCCGTCAACCGTGAATATGAAAATGTCACCTTCATGGGCAGAGTCTCTCTCTCTCTATATCTCCCTCTCTCTCCCTCCTCTCCTCTGTACTCAGACACGGTTTACATCCAAAAAAAAACAACGCATCTCACTCCAGCCTCCTTCAGGTTTGACGTCCTGATTTTGTGCAAAGTGAAGCATCGGAGCTCACTGCTTTTGACAGGTATCGCATGGTGCGTACCCATGGGAACACTGCACTGAACGGTTTTAAAAGGCACGGCGATGTACAATGTACAGAGTAGAAGCGTCTTCTGTGTCCTGATGGTTTGAAACTTGGGAGACCTCATTCGCAATCTTTATCGAATCTAGTAGCAGGAATACTGTTCTATGTCAAAGTGCATCCGCTAAAGCCACCTACTTCCAGCTGTCCTCCAGAACATTGGCCATTTGGTCCACTCCAAGCGCAATCTCAGCATGTCAAATCCAGCAGCTCTGAAGCAAATGAAACTTTCAAAAGAGTCAAGTAGCCTGAACAAATTCAACGATTCTCATGGGCGCAAAGGTTGCATACACAAGTAAAATATGAAACAAGAACGCGCAGAACCAGAATCCGGGACAATAGAATATATAAATGTGATTAAATGTGTATTATATATATAAGATCACATAATATACAAAGACATAGTAAGACCAACCAAGGAAGGGCACAGGCACTTTGAGGAAAAAAATGCGAGGTACAGAACACTGCTGAGCACACACAGCTGTCCCCCCGCTGCAGTGAGCACCCTTGAAGGGCAGCTATTTCATTGATGTTCATGGCATCAAAAACAAAAAAACAGCATGATCCAGCTTGCGTGGAAAATAAGGCACGAGCATCGAGGCCCACTCGGGCTGGAAGCACTATGGGTATGCCAAACCTAGTGCCAACTCAGCAAACAAGATTAAATTGGGATGGAATAACATGGAATAACATGGAATAACATGGAATAACATGGAATCCTGGACAGCCCCTAAACACACATGCACAAACCTCAGGAACAAATGCACACACACACTGTCACAGCTTTTTCACCTTATTCGCAGTAAACCTATGGACATCGAGCTATTCTATGGGAAACATATGCTTCAATTATCAGCTAAGTTTTGACTTGCGAGACCTGGTATATCTCACCAAGCTGGAGAGTGAAGTTCTGAAGAGAGTCTCATCTTGCTCAAAAAGTGCATGAAAACCATTCATGGATCTTTGCACCTTTACGCAGATTGTGCTTTCCTGCACCGGCATGCAAAGGCTTTGCAGACTCAACTTGATAGCACATGACTTTGAATTTTTGTGTGCCACATGTCACTCCCTGCGTCACTCATGAATTGTTCAAGGAGCGGATCGACGATGTTTGGATCTGTTCTTGAAGGAAGTCCTTCTGTCACATTCCTGTCAGGGTGCCAGGCGGCCAGACTCAAGCCGTCGAGTCTGTTCAAATTCAACGCAACGCTTTCCCGACGTGCCAGGCTAGACTGCCGTTGGGCGGTCATGACTTGACTTGTGTCGAAAAGATGCCAAAGAGTTGTGGAATCATGTGGAAACTTGCACGGTAAGCAAAAATGAGCCGCAGAAATGCTATTAATCCAGCAAGTGTGAATTGTTGGAATCTGCAGAACACTTGCTCTTGGAAGTCATGAAAGCCCTGAACCATGGAACAAGCGAAACGACTACCGAGTAGATGATGGTCTGGGGGGTTCCCGGCAAAAACCAGTGTATGAGGTATCAGGCGTGTTTTGGTCATCTTTGATCATTGTGGCTGCTCTTAGTTAAAGACCCAATTGCAGACAGAGTCAGAGACATATTCTGAGCATATCTTAACAGTTGTTGGGTTGCAAGGCTGTTGCAAAGCTGGGTGCAGCCTATTGCAGCCTAATCAATGCAACCCAAGGATCAAATGTGCCAAAAAGCGAATGATCAAAGGCCAGTCTGTTGGATCTGCCACCAGCTCATTTTGCTTACCTGGAGTATGCTCAAGAGCGAAAGATGTTTCTGATTGTTCACAAATGAATATGAACTTCATGATATGTGAGTGACACAATTGCAAAATGTATGCAGATAGCAAGCACGTGGTCCAGAGAAAGTTGCCAAATACTCGCATTGCCTCAAACTCATGATGTGAGTGAGCAATCGATATACATGCATTCCCCATATTCCCCTCTACCAGGATGGTAGCTCCTTCTCCAAAGGCCGACTCAGTGGTTTTTCAGATTTTAGATTTTCCCCCAACCAGAAAACAAATCCTAGTGCAGCGCACAGGCACTACACTGGCCGCACGTCATGTCAGTATGAGATTCTTAGGCTAGAAAAGTGGTATGGGGAGACTTTTCCTGGAGTGCTTTGGCCATATGTAAATATTCTCTACGCACAATATGCATGTCTAATGTTCGTCCCTGTTGCTATTCGTGTTTGATGTGTCCATCGCTCGAATTTAGCAGTACTCCATGGATTGGGTGTGAACAATGACAATTCACTAAGATTCAGGAAACGAGGCTGTATGCACATCTGGACATCACGTTCTATGATTCCAGGGTCTTCAGCTCGTTTGTTTCGCTGTATTTTCAGGTTCCTCTGTATATCTAGAGTGATTGATACCCCTTATTTGTTCGCATCCTTTCCTCTTCTATCCTCTTTTTGTGTCCACACTCCGACATGACTTCACTTTCAGTTTTTCCATCTTCGTGCACCCAAGCCACTGATTTGTAGAAATTCTGGACCCAGCCAGGAAGCAGTCACTTGACGGCTGGGCAAGGCAACCATCCGAAGTTTGCTCAGGTCCACATCCTGACGAGTGCGCTGATTTTGTTCTTATGCATTTCTATACAGGAGTCAGAGTCCATGTAAATCAGATGTAAATCCGTGCAAAACCTCATATCTCCAGACTCTACCTAGCTCTACCTACTCCACATGCCCGACTCGAGACAAGCCAAGAGTTTCAAGCATCATTGCAAGAGGTTGAAGTACTTTTGAGCAAGTGATCTCAAATTCCTTGTGCATGGTTGATCTGGTTTGCAAAATTTGGAAATAGACCGCAAATGTATGCAAATGAATTGCAAATGTATACAAATGTGACGATTTGTCAATAGATCATAATAGAATATAGATCTATAATAGATCTATAATCTGAGGCAAGTTTCGAAGCAGAAGAATGGATCCAGGTCCTCAGTGAAGCCAAACCCTGATGCCAAGGCCATATAGACCACAGGTTGGCAAACTTGTGCCAGGTTTCACCAGGTTTCATGCAAAATGGCAGATCAATGAAAAGGGAAATAGATGGAAATAGTGTGGTCAGTGTGGTGGTGTTGCACTGTCATATCTCTATATCTTGCTATCTGATCTCTCTTGCTTAAGCCCTTTCTGCTTGGCTTCGCAAAATCAACATGTCAAGACATCACGAGTCGGTGTCCTTACATGCAGCATCTGAGACGACATCCACAGTGCCGGTCATTTGGTCTGGACTGATTCGAATGTCCTCAGACGCTGCTTCCCAACTCCGTCTTGAAGTGGAAGGTTCAACAGTTATCAAGGAACGTTGTCAGTACTGACACAAATAGCCAACAGAATTCAAAAATCCATTCCCTCAAAAGGCTTCAAAACGACAAGAAGCACTGCAATCCATCCGTTGTTTGGGGCAACAGTTGCTTGTTTGACAGTTGTTGCAAGCAAACCTTTGCAGTAGGACTCGAGCTATCAAGCCATCACCATCTTCGTCTTTGGGCACGTAGTGCAAATTGCCAGGTCTGAAAACTAGCATCTGCCTTGGCATGGCTGGAACGCATTCAAACCCATCTTGCTAGTTAAGACTGGTCTGTTCCGGCGCTGCGAGCTATGAATACAAAGTGCTCTGTATAAGCAGCTTGACGCCTCATGTGGAGTACATACATTGACTGTAGATGAGGGTGGCGTGGAGGCCTTGGACAACCATTCCGACCATTCCTGTCTTCTTTGTCTTCCTTGTGTGGTCTCAACCTTACCACCGTCTTGGATTCTCCATTCCTGTCTGCCATGGTATCCCATGGTACAGTATTCCTACGATTTCCTACATGTTCCCCAGGTTGGGGATGGTGAGGGTCTCTGAAATTGCTGCAATTTGGCCCTGGATCTTCTATGCCTCCTGTATGGACTGCCTATGTATAAAAGATTCCTCCACTCGACATGTAATCAAAGTTCTTTTGGTTGCATTATCTGGACCCTTGACTTGCATTCTTTCTGGTTGTTGTGAAGTTACTTTGATCTCCAAAGTCTACCAAGACCTGCCCTGAGACAGGTGCTCTGCAGCGCCAACCACTTTGACGTACTGCATTTGCTTGCTTTCCTGAAACTTTCAACTCAACGTCACAAATTAGCAGGCAGAAAAAGATACCTGTCCCATCTTCAACATTAAGTGATACAAGCACAAGTCCGGTACGCATCGTCACATGTATTCTTTGTCTTCTGGACTACAACACCCCTGCTCCGATCAATACCAGGCTAAGTTGCAAGTTGCACAGTTTTACATATATGCTTACATGGGTCCACGGTTGGAATCACCAGCTTTCGGTTGTTGCTGTCTGACTTCAATCTAGATGAAAACACCTGTACGATCCTGTACGTAATCCATCGTACTCCTACCTAAACACTTGCGAAAGGATTAGCTTCTGTTTGACATTCAGAATGCACTCATCCTTCCTGATTTCTTTGTGTATGTAGCAGCAAGAGCAGTCCTGGATGGTATATGCAAGAGCTCGGGTGATTGCCGAGTATGGCTCAGAGACGTTGAACAAACCCATGTTAGCCTCTCCAGCGCAATGATGCGGGACAAGGCTCTGATGAGCTCAGAATTTGAAATGCAGCTGTTGACTGACGAGTCTGACGAGCCATAAATGCCCCATTTTGCTATCCGCAATAATTACATATTGTGCTAACGTGTGCACGGACGAATGTCGAAACAACGCATGGTATGCAATGTATATTGCCGAACTGTTGCGTGCGTAGTCAGATACGAAGAGATGCAGGAAATTCGCACATTGAAATTCTAGTTGATACATGTTGATACCAGTTGGCTCACGCTCGCATGTCGGTACACCACGAATCCCTGTTCGTCCAACTACTGGACAATTTAATACTGAAAACTTTTGAGGGACACATTGTGTTGAAATTCTGGTTTCGTTGTTGCAAATTGAAAAAAACTTAAGGGCAGCCCCGACTATCAGTCTTCTACCTTTTCGCCGCTCTTGGTGGTCACTTTCAAGTTTTCATTCAAACGGATTCAAACGGTATGTGCTTCCGTATGAATCAATCTGTGCTGTACGAGTGATTTAGCAACAACAAAACCTGTCTCGAATGGAAAATCTCAGATGGAATAACGAGGTATGGGATAAGAACGCAAGATTTGGGCAACCTGTCACCAACCCCTGAAGGAGTATATAGTCCTTATCCTGCGATAATCCATGGCTTAAGACACTTATAATCCTTTAATTACAGGCTCAAAGCTCCAAAATCATCCAGGTGTCTTTGTGTTGCTTTGCTGTGTGAACAAGCTCTTGCAAGTAGTTCAACTACTGTATATCAGAGTAAACAGCAAAGTTGCTAAAGAACATGATATTCCCACCATCAAACATATTCTGTATTATTCTGTCATCATGACTTTAATGTAGACTTTGAATCGGTCTGAACTATAGACTAGCTACTTCTGTGCAAATCTGGAAAAACAATCCTTCCCTGCGTTTAGGAACCTTGCGCAAATCCTACAGTGTTTCTATGCGCTAAGGACCTAGTAGTATTGTTCTGCCTTTAAAGACAAGTTTGGATATGTTGCTTCCCCTGCACTATTCGCATCTGTCAACTTTTTGTCCCATTTGATATCACCTTAGAAGCTGACCGAAGTTCAGGGTGGCAAGTTAAGCCGCGGCACAATGCTTCACAAGGTTGTGGCAGGTTCCCAGCTGTTCCGGAAAGTTTCAGGGAAAGGTTTCTGAGAGTGAGCAAGTCCAAAAGCGAATTGGATGCAATCTATTTCACAGCCAAGGCCAAGCTAGGGTGCTCCACTATGCCACTATGCTCCACTTGCAAAGAATGTGGTGTGGTGAACTCTATGTCACTCTGTGTAAACTAAAAGTATCTAAAGATGGTCACTTACCACTTGACAAGAAGTGCCAGCCTGAACACTCAGCATGTAGACGAGATTCAGAGCAGGAGTCAGCTCCTTCAAATAATGACACGTACGTATACACCTACAATGCACATACACATAATAACACACACACATATATATATGATTACGTATGTACATAATAACATACACGCGTACAGATACAAATGTGTATATATATAATTATATATATAATTATATATATACATGTACTGTAACGGTATGTATGTGTACATATGCACATTGATCACACAGTCTCCCTCTCTCTCTCTCTCTTAATAGTTTCCTTCTCCAAATGACGCGAGGCTCCCTGAGGCCAAAGGGCCATGCTCGAAATTTCTGGAACCCGTACAAGTCCCAAGTCCGACAAGTCCCACAAGCCGAACGAGCCATACGAGTCAGACAAGCTCCTGTGCAATGCTTGCCTCGAGCTTTCCAAAAATAGCATCAGCATGGGCCCGGTGCGTTTGGACCCCGAGGCTCAAATAGAAGGTTAGAACCTGGCAGAAGTTCAGCCACCAGCGCGCTGTTGCACAATATTGTACGCCACACCACTCTTGCAATGCCGCAAGCATATCTGAGCAATGTGAAGATGTGAAGTAGGGTAAGCAGCCCATCTGAACAACTATGAACAACCTGCCTTCCTCATCCCAAGATCTCCCAATCCACCCAACTTGCAAGCTGCACGTGGACCACGAGAAGTGGCAACATTGCTGCGCACCAAACAAAGAATCCCACCAATCTAAGCACATGGCTGCAGGTCATCAAAAGAAAGCACAAGAGGAAACACGAAAGCAGAGATTTGACTTGCGTCGACGAATAAATTCTGCGGTTATATCAGTTCTTTTTGATCATAGCCTGTGGGTTCTGAGCCTCCGACAGCAGGATGATGACTCTCTTACGAACCATGACGGCTTCCACTGGCCTGAAGCTTGAAGCAGCTTGAAGTGCGAAGAGGGACAAGGAACATTTGCATGAGAGGTTGCAATTCGATGACATCACCTCACACCTTTGGCTTCCTCACAAAACCTGTGCTTGACCCTGGGGCTCAAACGCTGGATCGTAGATTTCATTTGGCGCCTGAACAAAGGTGCGAGCTGCTTCAAACAAAAGAGGAGCCCTCTTAATGCTGGGTTTCAAGTGGTCTTGAAGCCCCCCTGCACTTTCAATGTGGTTGCAGCAAGTCAAGAAAAATAGCTGAACGTTTGAATCCAGCTAAACATAAATAAATACATAAATAATTACATAAACAAATAAATAAATATGTGTGTATATATATATATAATTATATATATATTATATACACTAAAAGTTGGAAAAGAGATGTCCATCCAAAAGATGCAGGCCGCAAAAAAGGTTCAGTCAGAGACTATCCAGAAAACCATGCAAAACCCAAATGCTAATACATCATTATATACTTGTGCAAAATGGTGCCATGGACCATTCAGAATTCTTTTGAAATGCGGACCGAGTTGAGATCTAGGTCCTCTAGGCCCTCTAGGGACTTCGATCTGAAAGTTCGGCCTTCTCCTCAAAGTCTGACTCAACATTATTGCGTGCGACCCGCCGCCTGTGCAAGTCTTGCACTGACAATCATTGATGTAGATTCTGTACATATAGTAATACATTATATAATATATGATTACATAATACATGTATATGATTGTATATGTAATATATAGGTATAATACATATGTGATATATGTGTGATTATGTGTGTATATATGTGTAATATGTATATACAGACGCAATACAAAATAGATCCTAGATTGGGACAGTGTAAGACAACCTTGATCTGCTCTACTTTTCTGTCTTCCAAGTCCAGACTGCCATGCTTAAACAAGAAGCAGAGAAGCAGATCTCTGCATTTCATTCAAGTCATTTCAAGTCATTTCAAGTCGCCCTTTCATGTTCTCCTTTGGATCTCCTTGTAATATGTTGACTGCATCCCACCACAAAGCTCTTGCATTTGAGACACACCTGTCACCTGACACTCAGCATTCCTACAGTAAAGGATTTGCAGCATGGACGGATTCCTTTCACTTTCAGTCTCACTTCTATCCATCACCTCATATCTGTGGCCACTGTTGGCGATGACGGCTGGCCCTTCTCGGACTTCTTCAAAATCCGAGCCTTGCGACTTGCAACATCTTGCAACTATGACTTGGTTGGATGTTGAATGCTGACGTGTTGAAATGTATCGAAATGTTCTTCAGACTGTTCTCAGCGCAGCCAATAAAGCCATGACAATCCATGCCAATTCCCCGAATTTCATTGTATTTCAACAAACATGGGAAAACTCTACGATAGCCCTCATCAGCTTCCAGCCCACTGCGGCAGCCCACTGCACAGCTCTCAAATCCGTTAGTCCTGCCAGGTCCTGCCAGGTCCTGCCAGGTCCTGCCTCAACCAGGTGGAGCGGAACTGCCTTCCGCAAGTGGAAAGGCACATTCTCCACATCCTGGCAGTGGCAGGAGACGCCAAATCAAAGGGTGTAAATAGATGTAAATAGTGTAAATCCAACAGAATTCAACATTAAGTCCGAAATATAAACCCATCAGCTCAAGATATCTCAACTCTTCAAAAGCATTCACACTTGAAACTGCAAGCATGGCGAGCAAACAACTTCTGAGAACACTCACTCAGGAACATCAATTGGTTCTCATAACAGATGTTGATGCTGACGATGCCCAATAGTAGTTTCTCTGTTTCCATACTGAAACATTCGCCCAAGCCAACTGTTCAACAGGTTCCAAGTTTGAAACTTGAAACTGCAAACATGGCGAGCAAACAACTTCTGAGTCATCTTCAGACTCATCATCTTCAGACGCCCCGGATCTTCCTGTCCTGGCCATGTCTCAAACAAGAGTCCATCCATGTTCTTTCCAGTTCTTTCCAACTTCTACGGCTTCGTTCCTATCATGTCGGTGTATGTTCATGTCCCATGTCATACACTGTCATACTATGTCTATGCATGTCGATGTATTGTTCGGATTTGTTTGGTATGTCGATTGATTTGTCTAGCTATTGGGATCTTTTGGGTCTTGGGCGCTTCGGATTGGTTCGGGGTTGCCTTGGGTGGCTCTTGTGCCCCACCAGTCCTGGGAGGGTCCACAAAGTCCCAAGATGATTTTTATTAGGGAATTCTGAGCAAAGGAAGTTTCATGTTCCCCGCCGCCTATGGATGTAGAGGCTTAAAACGAATGAAACAGGACCTATGCATATGATCGTATGTGCGTATGTTTATTTTCGGCAAATTCTCACCAGCAGTGACTGGCTATGGCTTTAGCATCTAAGTACCGTGGAACATGGCAAGTACCGCACATATAATTAGCCCAGCGCTGCGGTCAAGGATTCACCATCTGAGCGGCAGACAGACAGGGACAGTACGACCTGCCAAGGTCAAAAAACCGCATCTTGCCTGCCGCTATTTCCGGACAATGCAGTGGACTTCCGATCCTACCAGAGCGCTGCGCCACTGGGAACAAAGGCATGCAGCATTATATAATCATTGCATTACATTATAATAGTATAAATTTATTATGATGATTTATAATGATTTATAATGCACATTATTGCAGATCTATGCAGCTAGAATTACCGAAAGGAGGACACATTGCCTGGCCTTGGATCGTCCCCTCTCTTTGGATCCACTAGTTGTCCTGGTTCTCGGGTCTCGTGAGAATTCCAACAAGGTTCAACAGTTCAACTCACATCAACTCACGTAATAGGATACTGGGCAAACAAATCGCAAGAATACACTGGGCAAGGTGGAGAAGAAAACTCTGATGAATTTGCGACGTTTATAGAAGCAGTTGAATGTGAAAGTGTGAAAGAACCATGTTGTAATTCTCACTTAGTGAACATTGAAGTCACCCTGTCTCACTTGCGGAGGTTTCTTTGGGCGCAAGGACCTTTCCTCAAGTATGTCACATTATGCTAGTATGCCTCTGTATCTTCTGTGCTCTTTTCTGCCGAATGAATCCAAATGATTGCAATTGGTTCATCTGATAATCTGATATGCTCTAGTATCGTCTGATTGCTTCTACGAAATGCTCTTCATCACTCTTCCCGCGGCACTTCAATCGTTTCTTTACACTTCACACCACCCGTCAACAAGGCTGGAAGGGCTGCCGTGCCTGCGGCTGACCACGGACTTGCTGCGGCCAACACCTTCCGAACATGGTCAAACTATGACAAACCACTTGCCAGTTGGCAGCGTCTTGCTTATGTTCTTCTCGTGAAGGTCAAGGTTAAGCGAACAGCGAACAACATGGCACCATGTCACGTTACCCAACATGTCTCAGCAGTTTTGGTTCATATTTGTGCACTGTGCTCAGTTGGCAAGATCAAGTGCAAGAGTAGCAACACCTTGCTGATCTACTGATGACACTTTGCACTCAACCCATCACAAATTGAGAACATCAATGGTGCGAATGATTGACACCAGTGGTAGTCGTAAATCCACTGCACAAAATGAATTTGGTCATTTGGTCTCTCTGCTTTCAAAGGACCCAGGATTGCAACAAGTCCAAGACACAAAAAAACACATCAAATTTCGTTTGTGGAGAAACCAGCTTTGTTAAAAACAATCCACGTGGTTAAATAGTGCCGTACCAGCAACTCAAATCTGCCTGAAGAATCATTCGTGGTTTTTCGGTGAGACACAGGACGATCGTTTGTTGTCTTTCTGGAGGTCGGTGGTGATGCGGCCCGGTTTGAGAACCTGAGCTTCAAAGCCTTTGCCTCTTGCAATGAAATCATGGAAAAAACCAATTACTTTACTTCGTGTGATCCCCACCATATCTTCTGGCATTCTACCTGGCATATGTTCTGGCATATCTTCTGGCATTCTATCTGGCATATCTTCTGGCATATCTTCTGGCATATGTTCTGGCATATTATCTGGCATATCTTCTGGCATTCTATCTGGCATATCTTCTGGCATATTATCTGGCAAACCTTCTGGGATTCTATCTGGCATATCTTGTGGCATTCTATCTGACATTCTATCTGGCATTCTATCTGGCATACCTTCTGGCATTCTATCTGGCATACCTTTTGGCATTCTATCTGGTATATCTTCTGGCATTCTATCTGAAATATCTTCTGGCATTCTATCTGGCATATCTCATGGCATTTTATCTGGCATATCTTCTGGCATTCTATCTGACATTCTATCTGGCATATCTTCTGGCATTCTATCTGGCTGTTGAGGTCCAGCGGTGCACACTGAGCTGGGTGAGCTGGGCAGGTCCCAGGTTGAGGTCCAGCGGTGCACATTGAGCTGGGAAGGCCCCCGGTTGAGGTCCAGCGGTGCACACTGAGCTGGGCAGGTCCCAGGTTGAGGTCCAGCGGTGCACACTGAGCTGGGAAGGTCCCAGGTTGAGGTCCAGCGGTGCACACTGAGCTGGGAAGGTCCCAGGTTGAGGTCCAGCGGTGCACACTGAGCTGGGAAGGTCCCAGGTTGCACACTGAGCTGGGAAGTTGGCAAAGAGCTTGGCGAAGAGAGTTGGCAAAGAGCTTGGCGAAGAGTTGGCAAGGCGGAAGTGCAGGTGGAAGTTGATGCAGACATGGTCGAGGAGAAACTGGAGGAGGAGGCGAGGAGGAGGACGAGGAGGACAGCTAGTCGAGGAGGAGGAAGGAGGCGGCGGGCAAGCGCTCTGATAAAATCTAACAACCCTCACCTGGCAGGTGGGGAACAAAAAACCAACAAGAAACACAAAATGACACAAAAACTTGCAAAACACTGGAACCAACAATGCCGGGCAATGGCACATCATGTGAGCAGTCCATCAGCCTCTATGGGCTCTCTATATACACCAGCCACCAAAGTGATAAGTTATAAATATATATATAGTTATGCACTTCGAATCGTTTCGATATAACGAGTCGCATAGATTTGCCAGGGAATTATGCTATCACCAAAATAGGTTGAGAGTCGAAGTGACGTGTGACAAAGACACTCAAAATTGCAATCCATCCTTGTCTTGCGCTTCCGAGCACGGTTTTTTTCTCAGGGAGAAAAAAATGCAAAGCGGTTGACATCCAAAGAACCACGCAATTCTACATTGTTCTACTTTCCTGTTTTCTGTAGAATGTTTCTATTGATCTGACCCCTGCTGGCGACCAAACGAGAAGCAAAATCAACAAATAGATAGTCTTAGCGTAGTGCAAATCATTTAAGCCTTTCTTGCAAAAACATGTTCAACACGCACAAACAGCAAATCGCAAACATCGGTAGGTAAATACACAAAACATCTGGCTAAACGACAGGCGATTCAACTGGACGTCATTTCCCCAAGATCCCCAAGTACGTATCAATTTTTTACTAACATAGGAACACGATCTGACTTCACAAGAACGACGACGACAACAAAAGCAACAACAACAACAACAACAACAACAAGAACAAGAACAAGAACAACACCAACACCAACACCAACACCAACACCACCATCATCACCACCACCACCAACAGCAACAACACTACTACGACTAGTAGTACGACTAGTAGTACGACTAGTAGTACGACTACTACTACGACTAGTAGTACGACTAGTAGTACGACTAGTAGTACGACTAGTAGTACGACTAGTAGTACGACTAGTAGCACGACTAGCAGTACGACCAGTAGTACGACTAATACTACGACTAGTAGTACAACTGCTACTACGACGACTGCTACTACTACTACTACTACTACGACTAAAGTAGTACGACTAAAGTAGTACGACTAGTAGTACGACTAGTAGTATGACTAGTAGTACGACTAGTAGTACGGCTAGTAGTATGACTAGTAGTACGACTAGTAGTGCGACTAGTAGTACGACTACTACTACGACTAGTAGTACGACTACGACTACTACTGCTACTACTACTGCTACTACAACAACAACAACTACTACTCCTACTACTACTACTACTACTTATACTTACTACTACTACAACTACTACAACAACAGCAACAACAACTACCACTACTACTACCACTAGTACTACTAGTACTACTAGTACTACTACTACTACTACTAGTACTACTAGTACTACTACTCTACTACTACTACTACTACTGCTACTGCTACTACTACTACTACTACTACTACTACTACTACTACTACTTGGAAGATTTGTGCTTGAATCTGGTCACAAAAGTTCTGGAAGATCAGCCTTTCGTTTCGTGCTTGAAGATATGTGGCTGAAACCTACAGTATTTGTTCTTGAATCTGATCATATTTGTGCTGGAAGATTTGTGCTTAAATCTGCACGCAAAAGTTCTCGAATACTATCCATTCGTGCTTGAAGATTCGTGGCTGAATCCGAGCACGTTCGTGGCAGAATCCTGGGACATTCGTGGCAGAAGCGTAAGTGGCTGAATCCGATACGTTCTTGAATCGGAATTTGTTCAAGCAGGGCCGCTCAGTTTTCCTCATGGCGTAGCGAAATCGGATCAAGGCCTGGATATGGGAATTGAGCCACATCAGGCCACAGGGAATCACATCTATCGCACATGCTGATTGTCCACCCAAGTCCATCAGCTGATTTCATAGCGGATTATCTTTCTTTTTGGAACTTGGTGTGGAAACAGCCGACTCAATTGCTGCAGGCCTTGGTGTCCTACCTGCATGACTACACCATCTTTCTGGTGCCATCCTGTTGCATCTCCTAAACTAAGAACGTGCTGAAACACCAGGTCACTCTCACTCATCGCGCATCCTGGAAGTTCACTGCTATTCGACACTTTCGGCTTCGGCTTGGTGCTTTTGGTCTTTCCTTGCTTCACTAAGGCCGCTTCGTACTTTGCGCACCATCGACCAGACTTCACAATCTGCTGGAAGTGGGAAGTGGGAGACGTCCATCCCTTTCGTCCCACAGTCAATGAACATGTTCATGGTCGATGTCAAACTCAACTTGGTGCTGGGGCGTTGAAGCATAGCTCTCAACCAGGCAATGGTGAAGGCAAGGCTTTTCTGAGATCCATAGGAACTTGCTTGTGTCAGAGCTGCAGCGGTCGTGCACATCCTTGGCATCTGTGGCGACACGCATTGAAATCGAATCCAGCACATGGTCAGCTTGACGCCCAAGAACTGGAAGACCTTGGAACTCGGCCACAATGCCACGAATGAGCTGGCCGATGTCAAAGGACTCTTCGGCTCCAAGCAGCTCTGCTCCATACGTTGACCTGCAGGCACGACCAATTCGGTGACTTCTGTGCTATCAGTGACACTGAAAGCTCCAGTTTTACCATCCATCAACGCTTCCTCGCAAGCAAAACAATATAAGATGACTGGGAGTAGAGCTTCTCCAGGGATTCATCGCCAGTGCTTCCATCAGCTTTGACGTTCCCCAGTGATGAGTCCGTCACCACCATGACTCCACTGTTGCTCAAGTCAAAAGGTCGAAAGTAAAGAGCCATGTCGGAGTGCTCCTCTAACTTTCGCACCAAATTGTTTGCTTTCACCAGAGTGCACTTGGGTTACCAGCCAATGCAACGATCCAAGCAAACCACGTAACTGTTTCAGCTCTGAATACAACTGCTGGCGTCTGGTGGCAGAAATCGGAACTGTTTTCAAGTTCTCATGGTACGCTTTCATGCTCACACGGATCGTGAAATAATCACAAGAGAGAGAGCCAAAACCTAACTCCTTTTTCAGCAAATCCAAAGACTTGTTGCTTCTTCATTTCCACCGCAAAGCAAATCGTCAACATAGGAGGCTATGACGCCATTCTAAGTTCCATCTGGGGCCCAAAGAAACCAAACCGCATAATAGTCCAAAGCGGAGCGTTCCCATCCCAAAGCTTGCAAAGCTTTGTTCAAACGCAAGTACCATCTCCTCGGTGAGTCACTCAGGCCAAAGATGCCTTTTCTGAGTTTGCCAATGCATCCAGGGTCCATCGGCAGTTGCGGCTCACCATGTTCCCTTGGTGTTGAGGATGTAAAGTTCACGTTCATCCCGATCAAACAACTTTGATGTCTGCAGCTTTCAGGCGCCATCCTTTGGAAAACTTGCAGGCAGTTAAAGGCTGATTCTGCTTGCCGTTGGGGCATCCTTGCGCATAGTATACGCTTCCAGGTCACGGCATCCAGGGACAACCAATCTTGCAGATGCCTGGGCAGGAAGGGACCGGTGCTGGGTCCTGATGCCATCGTTCTTGCCGGTGAAAACCCAACGAGGCAGCAGCAAACGGTAAAGTTCACCTCGGGCTCGAAGTGAAGCTACCACACGCTCAGAGGCTTCTTTGCTCAGCAAATCGACAGCTCCATTTTCAGTCCAAACATTTTTGGCTGCTTCTCTGTAGGCAGGCTTGTCTGCTTCTTTCATGTCTGGCCATTTGTACTCCTTGCGGGCGGCTTGCACAGCATTCATCTCATGGTGACCTGTCGGCCATTTCAAACCAAGAGCTTCTGCCAGTCCGTCCGCGAGGGCATAGGCCAGGTTCCATGCCAAGTGCCGTGATCTTCGACCTTGGCAGAAGCTGGATCAAGCATGTCCAGGGCTGCAAGGGCTTGCGCTTTCATGAGAGAGTGGGCATCCTTGTTCTCGTCCGCCGCAATCGCAACTAACTCCTCTCGCGTCAAAACCATAGCATCATGGGCTTCCACATTTGGCTGAGACGCTTCAGCCGATTCACCACCAACTTCAGCATCAGACTGCATGGCATATTCAGTTGGAGCTCGGAGATCATCCAAGGGAACTTCTGCAGGCCGTTTGGCTGATTCGGCTGCAGCATCAACTCTTCTTGCATCTTGCATGAGTGGAGCG